ACTGTTTAATTTCCATGTGTTTGTATAGTATTGGGGATTCTTCTTGGTATTTATTTCTAGCTTTTTTCCACTGTGGTCTGAGAAGATATTTGATATGATTTTGATTTATTAAAATGTTTTAAGGCTTATTTTGTAGCTTAATGTGGTCAGTATTGAAAAATGTTTCATATGCTTATGAAAACAATGCATATTCTGTAATTGTTGCATAGCCTGTTCTGTAAATGTCTGTTAAGTCGATTTCGTCTAAAATCCAATGTAAGTTCAATATTTCTTCATTAATTTTTGTCTTGATCGTCTGTCTAGTTCTATGTGTGGAGGTTAAAGTCCCCTATTATTATTGTATTGTTGTCTATCTCTTTCTTTAGGTCTAGTAATATTTGTTTCATTAATTTGGATGCTTTGATGTTGGGTGCATATATGTAGGATTGTTATATTCACTTGCTGAATCGATCCTTTGTCATTACATAATGACCTTTGTCATTTTTATTATTTTTGATTTCAAGTCTGATTCATCTGATATAACTAGAGCTATTCTTGCTCACTTTGGTGTTCCATTTGAGTGGAATGTCTTTTTCTATCCATGTACTGTAAGACATTTATATGTGTCTTTATGGATAAGGTGAGTTTCTTGAAGCACATATAATTGATTCATGTTTTTATCCGTTCTGCCAATATGTATCTTTTAAGTGATGTATTTAATACATTTACCTTCAAGGCTAATATTGATACATGAGGCTTTGTTCCTATCATATTGTTGATTGCTTTCAAGTTGTTTCATAAATTATTTGTTTCCATCTTTTTCACTGTCTTTTTGTTTTTGTGATTTGATGAAAATTCTGTCATGTTCCCATTTGATTTCTTTCTTGTCCTCGTTGTGTGATTGTTTTATATGAATTGAGGGTTTTATGTTTTCACGTAGCTTTTTAAATGGCAAATATCGACCTTTCATTTTCAAGTATAAGACTCCTTTGGGCATTTCCTGTAGAACAAGTTTTCTGGTGACAAAATCCGTCAACATTTTCTTGTCTGGGAAGGACTTTATCTCTCCATTGTTATGAAGTTTATTCTGGCAGTATACAAAATTCTTGGCTGATAATCTTTTTTCTTTTAGCACTTTGAAAGTGCTGTCTTATTCTCTTTGAGCCTGCAGAGTTTTTTCTTTGTAGGTGACTAGATGCTTTTCTCTTGCTAATTTTCAAATTCTTTCTTTCACTTTGACTTCAGAGATTCTGAACACAATACTTTGTGGTGAGGACCTTTTTACAATGTGTCTGTCTGAAAGTTGATATTTGCCTCCTCTATCTTGATGTCTAACTCTTCTGATAGATGGGAAATTTTCATTGATTATTTTCTTAGATATATATTCTAAACTCCTTGATCTCTTTCTTTCTCTGTGGGAATACCAATAATTTGTAAGTTTGGTCACTTTATGTAGTCTCAGGTGTCTCAAAGGATTTGTTCATTTTTAAAAAATTCTTTTTTCATTATTTTTGTCTGGCTGGATTATTTCAAAAGAACTTAGATGCCAAGTGAGCCATTCTTTGGGCCCCAGTGGTGGCAGTAGTGGTGCAAGTATGCCTGTTTCTAGGCCCAGAGCAGCTTACACTGCCTCTCATGTCAGTGGGTCCTAGAGGGCTAATTCTTGACCCTCCAGGTGACTTGCTTAGGAACTTGTAATGGGGGTGGTGTACCCTATGTACACCTTCCTGTGTCACACCTATGTGTGAGTGGGTTCTTAGGCCCCTGGACAGATGGTGTGGTGAGGGTGGGTGATGGCTGTAGAAGTAGTAGAACAATGCATTGGGACCCAAGCAGTCTGGGCTGGTGTTATTAGAAGCTGCAATGAATTAGTGGGCTAATCCCAAGTCCCACAGCTGCTCATAGTAAGGTGGCGGGTATTGTTCTAAATGTGCTTAGGAGGGCATGGTCTCCTCTGTCCCTCCATTACTCCAGGGTAGTGGCTGCAGCTGCCTCATCTCAAACCTGGTCCAAGATTGGGGCATAGCCCAGTGTTAAACTCTCAAAATGGTGACAGCTGTGGGTTTTGTAATCAGAATGGGTGAGGCCCCTCTCAAGCGCACAGCATGATCAAGAAGCTGTGGCAAGAAACTGTGGGGAGTGCAATCCACCCAAGTGTTGGTCTCATAGCAGGCTACAGCAGGGAGGTAAATATTGTCCTAGGTATGCTTAAAAGAATGTAGCTTCTCTGTCCTGCCTTGACCAAGCAATGGCTGTGGCAATGTTAAGTGGAACTCATCATGAGGGCACAGTGCAGCCAGTATTAAACTCTCATAATGGCAACTTGGGCCTGGCACCAGAGAAGGTGCCAGGCAAGCAGCATGGCCAAGAAGCTGTGGGGAGTGTGGTCTGGTTGCATCTCAGTCTCATGGCAGCCTGTTGCATGATTGTAGGTCTTGTCCTAGAAATGCATAGCATAGCCTAGTTTCTCTGTCAGTCCTTGGCTGTGTGACACTGCAGCCATCTCAGCCCAATCTCAAATTGAGGTTAGGGCACCATTCAGCATTAAAGTCTCAAAATTTTGCCTTTGGTATGTAACCAGAAAGGGCAAGTCCCTCCCAGACAAGCAGCATGGGCAAGAAGCTGTGGGGAGTGTGATCTGCTCACGTCTCAGTCTCAACAGCAGTCTAGAGCAGAGTGGCAGGGACCCTCCGAGGGATGTGTAAGAGCACCTGTTCTCTTCCTGCCTTCTTGGAGGAGTGCAGCAGCTGCAGCCTTGTCTGTAGACCCCCTAGTAGCTGGGATGTCACAGTGGTGCCCAGCCGAGGCTGCTCCAGGGTTGGATGCCTGTGGGATTCTGTGTGGGTTCCCTTTCTGGAGAAACGTCTCTGTGCAATCTTTAGGCAGCTCTGTATGTTGGGCATAAGGCTGTAGTGGGCTGAAGGTTTCTCTCACAGAAAAGATTAAAAGCGCATTTTGGAGCTCTCAGAATTTCTCTCTTACCGTTTTCCCTTGTCCAGGATCCTCTCCTGGCTCTCAGTAGGTTTCCCACTGGACAAGCTACTCAGAATATCCTCCTTACTCACTGAAGCACCTGAAAAGACAAGTGCTTCCTGTCTCTTCTTTGATAAATCCATGTATTCTCTTCTAAACAATCTATTTGAATGTCTACAAACTATTCTGTTTCCTCGCCATGGAGGAGGCACACACTACCTGTGTCTAGTCAGTCATCTTGATCCCTTTATCCTGGTTCCTATATAATATTGATGTACTATCCTCTATGAGCTTCCACAGATAGCACTTGAGGGACAGAATCTTGACACTTGATTCGGGCAGACCATCCCATTCTTTGGTATGCTTTTGCAATGTCTTTTTACTGTACTATTAGGTTTGTTTCAGGCCAAACCTAATAGTGATCTCTGAGTCTTACTTGGATGTAAGATTGGAGCTATGGAATCACCATCAGTACAGACATAGTGTACAGCTTGGTAATCGTAGTAATTAATTATATTTCCCTCTAATAGCCATGATCTCTATGGTCCTAATGTAATTTACATTAAGACAGAAATCATTTGCATGACAGAATGGATTCCACTGGATACAGGCTTCTGTGTCATGAGAGTCAAGCAATGACCAGGCTAATTATGCCTTAGAGAAAGAAGTATTCTCAAATATTTGATGAATCTCTAAATTAAGATAATTTTCTAAGTCGTTCTATTAATTCCAGTTCTTTTCTTTTTTCTTTTCTTTTTTTTTTTTTTTGAAACAGAGTCTTACTCTGTCTCCTCCAGGCTGGATGGAATACAGTAGTGCTATCTTGGCTCACTGTAACCTTTGCCTCCTGGATTCAAGCAAGTCTCCTGCCTCAGCCTCCTCAGTAGCTAGGATTGCAGACATCCGCCACCAGGCTCAGCTGATTTTTGTATTTATTTTAGTAGAGATAGGGTTTTGTCATGTTGGCCAGGCTGGTCTTGAACTCCTAACCTCAGGTGACCCACTTACCTCAGCCTCCCAAAGTCCTGGGATTACAGTCATGAGCCAGTATGCCTGATTTTAATTTTAATCATTTTCAACATAAGACTTTACCTATATCTACATAATGGTGGTAGGCATGGCAATTAGGGTTAGAAACCCAACTAAGAAAAAGTCTAATGGTGCCCTTGTTCCTTTTTATTGAGAGAGTTCTATAAAATCACCTTGTCTCTGAATTCTTGGTATTTCATGATATTCAGTTTTAAGCCCAAAACACAGAAGAATCCTAGTTTTGTTAAACACCATGGTGCTTTCTGCCTAATATTAAACCACAAATATCAGATATATGTATCAAATAAGAAGGAGACATTATTTACCTTTTTTATTTATTTTCAGAGAGCTCTAATTAGCTCCAAACTCTAGAATCATTCTTATTTAACAGAGAAATTCCAATTTTGGCTTTGAAGCAAAGCCATTACACCTTCATCCTGACATTCAAGGTTATTTTGCTAGTGAAAGATGCTCTGGAGCAGTGACTAGAGGATGAAGGAAAGTTCAAACAATTTTTTTTATTTAATTCTATTTTAATATTAGGCCTTTAATATTAAATATCTAATTCTATTTTAATATTATGTCTCTTTTCTTATTATTGCAATTCAACTCTTACAACACACTGAAACTCACCGAAGTCCACTGTGACAGGAGAAGTCTAAAGTCTAAAGTCCTTATTTGACAGGACAAGATTCTAATGTTCTGATGTTTCTCATGGGATGCCCACAGTCTTGTCTAAATTTCTCATTTCACTCAAAGACAATCTTCATATTTTTAGATTGACTTTGGAAATTTGAATTTTCATCAGTGCAAATGTAAATTTCTCTATCTTGCTCTGAGGCTAATTGGTACCATATTTTCCCTTTTTGTCTTGTCAATCTGCCATCTCCCATCTCATCCTGACCTTTGAGTCAAGGACCTAGTGAACTGACTTTCTAATTCTAGAAGTTGTGTTGCAAGGCCAGGAAAGCCTGATAAAAGTATTGTGGAAGAAGCAAAGGTAGACCCCCATCACTCACCTTGGTCTGCATCCCCAGGCCTTTGAATGATGAAAGATCTGACATTCTGCATCAGCTGTGTCTGCCTCAATGGCAGAGAAAAGGTCATAAGAATACTGGAAGAGGAGCATGGACTCAGACTTCAAGGAAAAGTGATTTTCTCAGTCCTTCCTTCTGCATCTCACCACACCTTAATTACATGTAACTCCATTAAACAGCATATATTCAGAAACTATACCAAATAAAAAGACTGGTGGAAGTTATCACATGGGTAGCAACTATGAAACATAAATAGGACACAGTTGCAAACATGATCTCCTTTAGTATTTTAGAAAATGAATTCCTGATTTCATTTTGAGCTTGAAGGCTCAGCCATATGACTTTAGTGTCTACCAAACTGCTCTAGAAAGTTGTTGCCATTTTGTTTGTGATATGTAGAAGTACAGACTTTAGGAAGCTCACCTTTAACTTCAGCTTTCCAGATAAAGTTTCCTGACTCAGTGCTTTTGCAGAAGGAACTGGAAAAGAAAAAGTTGTAAGGAAAATCAGAGATGCCTAAAATCCTCCCCTGTCCCACCTGCACCTTAAAATATGCATGTTACCTTCAAGATTTTAAAATTGTACTGTTTATATATGTACACATTAAAATTAATGCTACATTTAAGGAAAATAAAATTGCTTGCCTCTATGTAATTCCTGTCATTCTACAGGAAATTCACTTTTCCAGCTACTGAATGGAAAATTTAGCAACCTCAATTAAAAAAAAAAATTCTCATTTTGCATATTCAGACTCAGAAAAGCCAAGTGACTTGTCCAAAATCAGATATCTTGCCTCAAAGTTTAGAGACCTTTTTAGTTCACAGTACTGCCTCCTAGAAATAACTTCTTCTGATGGAAACACAGTACATGCTGCTTACCACTTCTTTTCCTCTTCCTGAGTTTCCTAGACTCCGATGACAAATAAATAGAAGTGAAAATGAGCACGGAAGTTCATGTTTTACCTTTGTTGACACAGCATACTCAGTAGCCAGTTTTATTTTTGGGAAATGGCAGTGTCACATTATGCTGATGCCACCATTATGGTGGAACCTCTAAAAGCCCAAGTAGCATTGTGGAGCAGAGATCTCAATTGGCCTGACCAATTTAAGATATGTAGGTTGAGAAAAATATGCTTTGTTGTGTTAATCCACTGAGATTTGGAGGTCAATTTGTTATGTTAGCATAATGTACCATGTCCTTATTAAAACAATTTCCAAAACTTAGTAGAGGACACATCAAGACATTATAGCATAAGAGACACACTTTTTAAAAAATATGCTGAATGCTTGAATAATGAGGAGACCTAAAAAGACATAGCATCTACTCAGCGGGCTGATTGAATAACAAGAAGCAAGCTTAAATGAAGGCAAAAGCATTGGGAGGAATCTTCAGTTTTTCTTCTTTTTTTTCTAATTCACTAGGACATTCCTGTGTTTTGGTCAAACATTGTCTGTCTTTGTGTATAGGCAGAATTGACTAAATTCAAGTGGCTGTGCAACACAAACAGCTAATAGGACATGCAGGTAAACTTGAGGTTCCATCTTATAAAAAATATTTTAAAATGCATTTGTGACTAGTCTGGTAAAATCACACAGTGTGAAAGACACTGAGGATATTAAGTTTGCTGGGCTATTTTCAGTGGATTCTAATGGCACTAAAGTGTTTATCAGAAATCTGATTTTTTAATATGCTGCCTAGTCATTTTTATGTTACATTAAGTTTATTTTGTCTTTTTTGGATCATTCCCATGACACTTAGAGTGCACTGGGTTGTGGCCTAATTGCCTTATTATGCAGTATTAAATAACCTATAAAACAGAATAGAAATGTGAATTAAAAAGAATGGGCTTTCGTCACCATAGGTGGTATAGAAGAGCAAAACAATAGAATCAGGACAAATGTAAATGAAATATTAAGCAGAATATTCCACTAACATAAAGAACTTTCAGAAGACTTTTTTCCCCAAGAATGAAACCAAAAAATGGGCCATCGGGAGCTTATTTAAACCTAAATGCAGTGAATAATTAAATATGTTTTCACTTAAGGCTATAATGTCTTTATTTTGCAAACAATATTTCTTCCTTAATATTTTATTAACTTAAAATGTTCAGACTCTAACTGCTGTCTTTAGCATATTAAAACCATAAGTAATGAAATCTTTTTAAAAATTACTTAAGTCATTTCTTTTCAAAGGAATAGCATAGATGGAAGAGGATGTAAAAAGGACAGATTTATCCTGTTACTTTTTGAAAGTAGGATAGTTATTGTGCTAAATGGTACTAAATGATAATTGTCAGGTCCCTGGGCAAGATGGCCAAATAGGAACAGCCCCATTGTGCGGCTCCCAGAGAGACTGATGCAGAAGGTGGGTGATTTCCACATTTCAGCTGAGGTACATGGTTCATCTCATTTGGACTGATTAGACAGTGGGTGCAGCCTAAGGAGGGCGAGCTGAAGCAAGATGGGGTGTTGCCTCACCCAGGAAGCACAAGGAGCCGGGGAACTTCCTCTCTTAGCCAAAGGAAGGCATTAGGGACTGTTCCCTACACCCCTGTCTGAATACTGTGCTTTTCCAGTGCTTTTTACGGTTTTCAAACCCACAGACCAGGAGATTCCCTCTAGTACATACACAACCACCAGGGCTCTGGGTTTCCAGCACAAAACTAGGTGGCTGTTTGGGCAGAAACCAAGCTAGCTGCAGCAGTTTTTTTTTTTTCATACCCCAGTGGCACCAGGAATGCCAACGAGACAGAATCGTTCACTCCCCTGGAAAGGGGGCTGAAGCCAGGGAGCCAAGTGGTCTGGCTTGGCGGATACCTCCTCCACAGAGACCAGCAAGCTAAGATCCACTGGCTTGAAATTCTCGCAGCCAGTGCAGCAGTTTGAGCTTCACCTGGGACATTTGAGCTTGGTAGAGGGAGGGATGTCTGCCATTGCTGAGGCTTGAGTAAGCAGTTTCAACCTCACAGTGTAACAAAGCTGCTGGGAAGTTTGAACTGGGCAGAGCCTACCACAGCTCAGCAGCTGCAGGCAGACTGTCTCCTAGATGTCATCCCTGGGCAAGGCATCTCTGCAAAAAGGCAGCAGCCCATCAGGGACTTATAAATAAAGCCTCCACCTTCCTGGGACAGATCACCTAGGAAAAGAGGTGGCTGTGGGTACAGCTTCAGCAGACCTAAACGTCCCTGCCTGGCAGCTCTGAAGAGAGCAGCAGATCTCCTAGCACAGCATTCAAACTATGATAAGGAACAGCCTGCCTCCTCAAGTGGCTCCCTGATGTCCGTGTATCCTAACTGGGAGATACCTCCCAGTAGGGGCCAACAGATACCTCATACAGGAGAGCTCTGGCTGGCATCTGGTGGGTACCCCTCTGGGATGAGGCTACTAGAGGAAGGAGCAGACAGAAATCGTTGCTGTTCTGTAGCCTCTGCTGGTGATTCTCAGGCAAGGTAGATAAAACCATGAAGATGGGAAGAAACCAGCACAAAAAGGCTGAAAGCTCTAAAAGCCAGAATGCCTCTTCTCTTCCAAGGCATCACAACTCATCACCAGTAAGGGAACAAAACTGGTTGAAGAATGAGTTTGATGAATTGACAGAAGTAGGCTTCAGAAGATGGGTAATAATAAACTTCTTCAACCTAAAGAAGCATGTTCTAACCCACTGCAAGGAAGCTAAGAACGTTGAAAAAGGTTAGACAGAATGCTAACTAAAATAACCAGTTTAGAGAAGAACATAAATGACCTGATGGAGCTGCAAAACACAACATGAGAACTTCATGAAGCCTACATAAGTTTCAATAGCCAAATTGATCAAGCAGAAGAAAGGATATTAGAGATTGAAGATTAACTCAATGAAATAAAATGAGAAGACAAGATTAGAGAAAAAAGAGTGAAAAGAAATGAACAAGGCCTCCAAGAAATAGGGGATTACATGAAAAGACCAAATCTATGTTTGATCAGTGTACCTGAAAGTGATGGGGAGAATGAAACCAAGTGGGAAAACACTCTTCAGGATATTATCCAGGAGAACTTCCACAACCTAGCATGGGGGCTAACATTCAAATTCAGGAAATACAGAGAACACCACAGAAATACTCCTTGAGAAGAGCAACCCCAAGACACATAATTGCCAGATTTACCAAGGTTAAAATGAAGGAAAAAATGCTAAGGGTAGCCAGAGAGAATGGTCAGGTTACCCACAAAGGGAAGCCCATCAGACTAACAGTGGATCTCTCTGCCAGAAGATCCTACAGAAGATCCTCTCTGCCAGAAGATTCTACCCTACAAGCCAGAAGAGAGTGGGGGCCAATATTCAACATTCTTAAAGAAAAGAATTTTCAACATGGAATTTCATATCCAGCTAAACTAAGCTTCATAAGTGAAGGAGAAATAAAATCCTTTATGGACAAGCAACTGTCGAGAGATTTGTCACCACCAGGCCTGCCTTAGAAGAGCTCCTGAAGGAAGCACTAAACATGGAAAGGAACAACTGGTACCAGCCACTTCAAAAATATACCATTGACACTATGAAGAAACTGCATCAACTACTGGGCAAAATAACCAGCTAACATCATAATGGCAGGATCAAATTCACACATAACAATATTAGCCTTAAATGTAAGTGGGCTAAGTGCCCTAATTAAAAGACACAGACTGGCAAATTGGATAAAGAGTCAAGACCCATTGGTGTGCTGTATTCAGGAGATCCATCTCACATGCAAAGAAACACACATAGGCTCAAACTAAAGGGATAGAGGAATATTTACCAACCGTATGGAAAGCAAAAAAAAAAAAAAAAAAAAAAAAAGCAAGCAGGTGTTGCAATCCTAGTTCTGATAAAACAGACTTTAAACCAACAAAGATCAAAAGAGGCAAAGAAGGACATTACGTAATGGTAAAGGTATCAGTGCAACAAGATGAGCTAACTGTCTTAAATATATATGCCCCCAATGCAGGAGTACCCAGATTCATAAAGCAAGTTCTTAGAGAACTACAAGGAGACTTAGACTTCCACACAATAATAGTGGGAGACTTTAACACCCCACTGTCAATATCAGACAGATTAACGAGACAGAAAATTAACAAGGATATTCAGGACTTAAACTCAGCTCTGGACCAAGCAGATCTAACAGACATCTACAGAACTTTTCACTCCAAATCAATAGAATATACATTCTTTTCAGCACCACATCACACTTATTGTAAAATTGACCACATAATTGAAAGTAAAACACTCCTCAGCAAATGCAGAAGAAAGGACATCATAACAAACAGTCTCTCAGACCACAGTGCAATCAAATTAGAACTCAGGATTAAGAAAATCACTCAAAACCACACAATTGTATGGAAATTGAACAACCTGCTCCTAAAGGACTACTGGATAAATAATGAAATGAAGGAAGAAATAAAGATACTCTTTGAAACCAAGGAGAACAGAGACACAATGTACCAAAATCTCAGGGACACATTTAAAGCAGTATCTAGAGGAAAACTTATACACTAAATGCCCATAAGAGAAGTGAGGAAAGATGTAAAATTGACACCTTAATGTCATGATGAAAAGAACTAGAGAAGCAAGGTCAAACAAATTCAAAAGCTAGTAGAAGACAAGAAATAACTAGGATCAGAGCAGAACTGAAGGAGATTGAGATATGAAAAACCTTTAAAAAAATCAATGAATCCAGGAGCTTGTCTATCTATAATCCAACAAAATAGATAGACCATTAGCCAGATTAATAAAGAAGAGAAGAGAGAAGAATCAAATAGATGCAAACAAAATGATAAAGGCCATTTCACCACCAATTCCATAGAAATGCAAACTACCATCAGAGAATACTATAAATACCTCTATGCAAATAAACCAGAAAATCTAGAAGAAATGGATAAATTCCTGGACACTATGCCCTCCCAAGACTAAACCAAGAAGAAGTCAATTCCCTGAGTAGACCAATAACAAGTTCTGAAATTGAGGCAGCAATTAATAGCCTATCAACCAAAAAAAGTCTAGGACCAGACTGTTTCATAGCCGAGTTCTACCAGGGGTACAAAGAGGAGCTGGTACCATTCCTTCTGAAACTATTCCAAACAATAGAAACAGAGGAAGTCTTCTCTAACTCATTTTATGAGGCCAGCATCATCCTGATTCAAAAACCTGGTAGAGACACAATTAAAGAAAATTTCAAGCCAGTATCGCTGATGAACTTCTATGTGAAAATCCTCAATAAAATACTTGCAAACCAAATCCAACGGCACATAAAAAAGGTTATTCATCATGATTAAGTCAGCTTCATCCTTGGGATGCAAGGCTGGTTCAACATACACAAATCAATCAATGTAAAACAGCACATTAACAGTATCAAAGACAAAACCCCATGATTATCTCAATTGATGCAGAGAAGTCCTTCAATAAAATTAAACAGCCCTTTATGCTAAAAACTCTCAATAAACTAGGTATTGATGGAACATATCTCAAAATAATAAGAGCTATTTATGACAAAACCATAGCCAGTATCATACTGAATGGGCAAAAACTGAAAGCATTCTGTGTGAAAACTCACACAAGACAAGGATGCCTTCTCTCACCACTCCTGTTCAACATACTATTGGAAGTTCTGGCTAGAGCAAGCGGCAAACAGGCAAGAAAAAAAAAAAATAAAGCTTATTCAAATAAGAAAAGAGGAAGTCAAATTGTCTCTGTGTGTAGATGACATGATTGTATATTTAGAAGACCCTATCATATCAGCCTAAAATCTCCCTAAGCTGATAAGCAACTTAAGCAAAGTCCCAGTATACAAAATCCATTTGCAAATATGACAAGAATTCTTATACACCAATAACAGAGAGCCAAATCATGAGTGAACTCCCATTCACAATTGCTGCCATGAGAATTAAAAACCTAGGAATACAACTTAAAGGGATGTGAAGGACCTCTAAAGGAAAACTCCAAACCACTGCTCAAGGAAATAAGACAGAACAGAAACATATGGAAAAACATTCCATGCTCATGGTTAGGAGGAATCAATATCGTGAAAATGGCCATACTACCCAATGTAATCTAAAGATTCAATGCTATCTCTATTAAGCTACCATTGATTTTCTTCACAGAATTGAAAAAAAAAAACACCTTAAATTTCACATGGAACCAAAAAAGAGCCTGCATAATGAATAAAATTCTAAACAACAAACAAACAAAAAAAGCTGGAGGCATCATGCTACCTGATTTCAAAGTGTGCTACAAGGCTACAGTAATCAAAACAGCATGGCAATAAACATATGTGTGCATGTTGCTTTATAATAGAATGATTTATAATCCTTTGAGTATATGCCCAGTAATGGGATTGCTGGGTCAAATGGTATTTCAATTTTAGATCCTTGAGGAATCGCCACACTGTCTTCCAAAATGGTTGAACTAATTTATACTCCCACCAACAGTGTAAAGCATTCCTATTTCTCCACATCCTCTCCAGCATCCGTTGTCTCCTGCCTTTTTAATGA